GGATCGGTGCTCCTCGTCCCGTCCAGTTAGTGGCTGTCCCTCCGTTATTGATGGTGTTTGGGTTTGGGATGGAGGATGGGGGGTATTGCTCACCAGGTCACCTTGCCTGCGGCTCTGGCCCCAGTGCAGGGCTCCTCTGATCGCAGACAGCAGACGAGAGCCACATTTAGATCGCAATGTTTGTCTTTATTAGTCGCGGATAAGACAGCAGTAGAAGCCTTATTCCTACAGGGAAAACCAGGAGAATGGAAATATAGATGGGTTGATATTTCGGCAACATGCATTTATCGAAATAAGAGCAGAAGTGAACTCACTTCTGCCGTTGTTTCGATAAAGACATATTGCCGAAATATCAACTCATCTATATCTCCATTCTACTAGTTTTTCTCCGAGGAATAAGGCTATCACTGTTGTCTTATCTACGTGAATAGGGTTCCTCGCAAATGCACTGAACAACTTATTGGTCGCGGGAGTAACTTCGTTACGAAAGGTTCCTGTGAAAAAATGTCGCATGCCATTGTTCTTATCTGAATTTTCGTGCGCATATGTCGTTCAGAAATGAACGTCGACTTGGAAAACGTCCAAAGTGAAATAATGCGCGTGCGGGAGTATGATATAATTATGAAAATGCTCAACGCACATGCTCTTCAGGGACGCAGTTTGGTTGGCAAAGTGGACACGTGAAAGCTCACATTCAGATGTGCAACGTAAGCACAACTGCTGATTCCCATCCTTGGTGTATGACCTCTGATAAATTGTCACTGCGGGGAAAATGTTACATCCCTTCGACCAGGGCTGGCAGGTGGCTGGGGACACGGTGGATAACGGCAGTTGCCCGTATGCGATTGTCATGACTGCCATATTTTGTGGCTAGCTTAGCTATGCGTGATGTTAACCTGCAGCCGGCCGGGGGTCTGAGACAACCACGACCCGCCGGGGGAAGTTGCCTCCACCCTGGAATCTCCAACTTCCAGACGCCGTATGAGAAAAACAAAAATACCGCTGGGAAAGTCTCGTCAAATCATCAAGAAGCCTCACCACATTTTTTCATCTGAAGTCAAATGTCAGGTCACGGGAGGTCATGAAAGGCTAAACACGGTCGTTCTGATATATGTAACTAACACCTATGTTAACGTGTCAAGACGACTATTGAGGCCACGGAAATAAGCACTGAGACTGTGGGCAGTCCATTCGTGCCATTTATGTCCACAAAAGGGTTAGATCAGATCAGTTCACCGTTTCAAATTGGTCCACCACTACCCCACATCAACGATACTTTTCACAACGTGCTTTTGACTAAGTTTGTCTTATTGGGTGCAGCCGTGGAACAAAGCTGTTTCATGCACGAAAATGTCGTTATATTCTAACCATCATCATCGTCATCTAACCGTTATCATTCGTCATCTGAAGTCAACTTAGCTCCATCTTTAAGCCATCCAAATGAAAACCTACGTGCTAACCGGTTCTATGTGACCAGTACCATATATTCTATGGTATATATCTCATATCTGTCGTCCGCATTATACGCGGTACCTTCGACGCTTGGCAATGCATTTGTAACAAACCGAGACCAGGCACGTTTGTGCATGATATCATACGTTACCAGCTTTAAAAAGACGATAAGGAGGTGGTTGAACGCGTCGCATTTGTTCATCTAGCGTCACCGCTCCTGAGAACATGGGACATTTACCTTGGATGACTTCGAATGATCTTTGCATATCTTCACGGGACTTTTTGTGACATCCTTATGCATAAGAATGATATTGCAATATGTTTTTAATGGAGTATTCGGGTTCCGTGTCCAAAATCATCTAACAAAACTTCATTTTGAGCTCAGCATGTGTTTTGCAGAGGGCCACCCATAGAGGTAGGTCATGACCTTGGCCAAGCTCATGTGCCCTAGTCATATGGTGGTTGTGCATGTGAGTTAGCATTATTTTCACCAAAGCATCACATGATGCGTACGAATTTGCATTATTTACGAAAAATGGCAAACGTTTACCTGACTTCAGGTTACTGACTTCGCCTGATTTGAGAAATCTGAAATAACAGATGGTGAGTACCATCGTGTTTTATTACTATAGCAAGTTTGAATAATGGCGATTTATCTACAAAAAGTTCGTTTGGTAAAGTTTTTTGCAGGTTGACCTCTTTGACCTGACCTAGGTCACTGAACTTGCTAGATCAAAATTCCAAGTTTGCATAGTGGATGCAAAATTGATAGATGAACAGGTACTGAAAGCTTTTCTTTGCTACAAGCGTTCATTGCTGACCCGTTCTCGAAAAACCTTTAAGGGTAGTCAACTTCCCCCGGCTTGATACGATGGATCCAAAACAACCTCTGAGAACCACCGAAATGTAACTCACACCAATGCATGCTCAACCGGAAGCTGAGGGGTCAAAATCAGGCCAGAGGTGTCAGACAATAGAAACTCTCCGGTGCACGCCCCCCCCCCCTTGTCATGTGCCATGTAATAATATATACGTGACTGAGTGTCAAAAGTTAACAATACAGGGTATATACTGAAAATATGAAGATGGAGAATATGTGATGCTGTTTTACGGCACGGAAGAATTGCACGTTGATGCTGCTCGATGAGCTATGTTTGAGGAAAACATAAATTCGTGTTCCTTGCCCCTATCGTGTAATACCGCGTACTGCCCGGTCATATCCAAATATCACAGCAGAGAACGTCATTCCTGACTACGCAATGCATAAGAACATCTGTGAGCGTACATCGTGCATCTTCATGCGAACTTCTGCGTTCCTATTTTTGTCAACCGAATATTATCCCTAAAGCACATGCGTCCACTAAGTCGTGCGTGCTTACATCACATGAAATTTTACGTCCGTTTTTTTGTCAAGCGAACTTTCAAACGAACTCGAACGAATTTGTTTCTGGCGAACAAGAGCGTGCACACATGCTTGTTCGGACAAATGCATAAACCTTTTCCCATACGCAAGGGTTATCTTATGCTGTGCAAATTCGTTAGGTTAGGTTAGGTCAGGTTAGGTCAGGCAAACTTATGTTGCGTTTTAAAAGTCAGATTTTGGTAAGGAGCCTTGCATGCACTCGATCCTCAATTGCCCGAGGCTATAAATAACTCTTACACCTTACGTCGGATACAATGACAGTCCAGCCGAGTCACAGTTGTATTCTACGTCTAGGATGTAGTCGCGGAGACCAACTTATGGAGAAATATGACGGGTGGGTGTGCATGATGCGTGGTCAGGTGGACGACCGGTTCTCGAACGCTCCTCACAGGAATATTGTCCATGCGAGCTTATGTTATCATACGTGATACCATTAATTCTTACAAATCTTTGCTCACAAAATCTCAACAAATGGGCCTAGTTCTTTGCGATTTTTGCGCTCGTGGCGTTACTCACCACCAGTTGCGTACCTATATGTCTGCCTGCGAATTCGCTTCATATGTGGTATGAGCATTGCTCTAGACGGCCTTAACATGGTCACATATAACATGACTGCGATGTAATGGAATATTTAGACCTCAGGAGTTGTATTGGTTCTACATTGGGCACAGAGCATTAGCCAATCATTAGCTTCAGAAAATCTGAATTTATTGCTGGTGTCCCCGCCTCGCAGCCCAGCAAAGACCATCGTTGGAAAGCAACAGAGCTGATGCCACTGCAGGTTTATTGTACACACGGACAGACGCACACGCATACACGAAGTGAACACACACAATACCCGCATTTACGAAGAATGCACGTATCATGCACATAATACCTACTCGGTGATATGTGACAAAAAAACTGTTCGAATAGCCGGTTGTGACGCGCCTTTCTCTTGATCCACGGTCTACGGCTCGGACAGCGTCTTGAGACCGTTCCTGATGTTGCACTGATGCTGTCGCCTGCTGGCCGATGCGGTCCGGGGGTGTTCGGCCGACCTCTGGTGGCGACGCTCGTGCTCTTGTATAGGCTCCAGGGAGTCCCGCAGGGTATGAGCTGGCGCGCAGCCTGTACTCCGCGGGCCGCGGACAGGGCGAGCAGAACCTGCACCTGTGTTCTGAACCTGAGTAATTTGGTAATGATGTTATGATTTACACTGTCGAGAAGAATGAGGCTTAATACCTTACTCGCGTTCTGAGAAATAAGGATTAGTCTCTGTTAAGAACTAAATAGCCTTCGCTACAGTAAACCTATATATCATTGACATGAAAACGGAGCCTAATGTGGTCAGAACGATGAACAGCAGTTGGTTTCGGAACCGACAGATTTACTGTATGAAGTCACAGAGCGACTTCAGCGTTCAAAAATAAAGTGATTGTTAATATTTTTTGTTTTGGATTATGTGAACTGTATTATTGAAGCTGAGACAAATTATGGTTGCTGAGGCACAAAGAAATAAATTGCATGCATCTTTGTAGGTGTGTGATTTAGAATACGCTTTCATTACGTAAGTACTGGATGTTGATAATTGCGTTTCTTTTTAAACGTGTTTCATGTCTCATCACAGCAGGCGAGGTCGCACCGATTAACGTATGATATCGGTTGGCGTCAGTATAGCGCCAGATTCTTCTAAACTACTCTTCCCTGTTGTTGTCTTCCCACGCTTCCGAACGCGGCAAATTGCAAATTAACATGACCACCGTGTGATTGCTTTGAGTGCAAAGCATATCAAATCCATGCTCTAGCATGCGCTTGTACTATAATTACTAATTTCCAGCACCTACGGTTCCCGATTTTTCAACTGTTCTGTTCAGACCTCACACATGAAGGTGCCTTGCTGATGTTAGGTGTATTCAAGAATGGAAAATCCTTTACGCGTTTAAGAGGACCATGAAAAATTTCTTATAAGGTATTTGTGACATGAATGTAAATCATCTTTATCAGCTGTTTCAGTAGCTACTCTCTGGGAATTGGAAGTCAGTTGTTATCATTACGTGTTGCTCTATGAGATGCAGCTGTGCTTCTCTGGTCAGGTGCCTTGGTCTGTTTTTTCCAGATTTCATGGCTTTGTTGCAAACATAAATGAGTCGATCTGTTTTGTATTGTTGTTCGCCTTTCTGTACAGCATCTAGCACATTCCTCATTAAAGCAAACATCTAGTTTCGTATTGGCTGCACCGACATATCAGAAACCGATCAGGTTTCCTTGCTTCACCGCGCTGTCTTTCTAAACCACCGCGACGCACACTAACAACCTGCGCAGCAGTGAAGCCATAACCCCATCTGCAATCACTGACAAGCACCGCGCGAAAGCAGCAAGGAGAGAAAGCTGGACGAGGCAGTTTGACTTGATAATCAATATCACGCAGAAATAACACCACTGCATATAAACATGTCTGGGAGCATTAAAAACAGCGGCAGTCAAATCCAGACAACCAACTAGACGGTGGTAGATCAACAGGCTGCTCCCGCCGCCGACGTTCACACTCACAGGAGAATGCTGCCTGTACTACTAGCGAAGCACGGCTCCATCCTGCACCCAGCGCGGCCGTATCTCTGACAAGAAGCTCCACTGTCCATGTTGTGAGCTCCCGCAGGGTCCCGGCTCACCCGCCGCTCCAGCGTCTCCCAATGACACTGAACGTGCCGCTCGGCCGCATTGAGTCCGGTCTTCCCCTTCCACTTCACCTGGCGTCGCGACGCTACCCCAGCGCCGGCATCTGCACCGTTGACGTCACGTACGAGGTGAGCACGGTGGGGAAGACGCTGGTGGACGTGATGTAGGCGGTGGAGGGCGAGGCGCGGAACGTCACCACCACGGCGCGCGAGTGCGTGCTCGTCACGACCGTCGTGACGAACACTGGCGATGAGGTGACCATAGCGCGCGGCTGCGGCTGCACAGCCGCCGCCGCCAGCGGCTGCTGCTGCCCGAGCATCGCCAGCAGCTGCATGTAGGCCAGTTGCTGGGGCGACAGCCGCGTCAGCTGTGCCCAGCGCGCCCAGCTGGCCGAGCTGCGGCAGCGCTGGCGTCGCCGCCGCCGGAGCCCGCCGTCGCCGCCGCCTGCAGTCCGAAGTGTTCCGGCTCTCCTGTTCCTCCAGCCGGTCAGCGTCGAAAAGTCCGATGTCGGCGAGGTCATCAGGCGGCGGCACGCGCAGTACGGGCACGCCGAGCGCGTCCACCTGGTTCTCGGACGACTGAGCGAGCAGCGGCCGGTCGCGGTCCACCAGGCCCGGCGGCGCCGCCGTGCGGAACACCTCCATCGGCGGCATGGTCTTCAGAGCCGTCACCAGCCGCGTCACCTGGTACGACTGCGTGATGGTGAAGGCCTGCGTGTTGTCGCCGATCACCAGCGGGATCACTGACGACTTAAGCACCAGCTGCGTCGTGCTGTAGGTCTCGGTCATGGTGCGCAGCGGCAGGCTGGGCGCGCTCGGGTCCAGCTGCACCGCCGGCAGCATCACTGCGTCGCCGTGCTTCCCCGCTGGCGTCGCTGGAGCACCGGCCAAACTCAGCGGCAGTGCCGTGGCCGCGATCCGCGGCGTCGTCCGCGTCGGCGCCGTCGGTTGCACGTGCACCGTGCGCGTCCTGGTGGCGGTCAGCCACTTGCTGTTGGTGTGGCGGCCGATGGTGATGGGGTGCATCGTCTTCAGCGTCGTCAGCTCGTAGTAGTAGTCGCTGGCGTCCTGCGGCCGGTACGTGTTGACCGCGATGATGCGCAGCTCGTCGCTCTCGATCGGTGCGGACGGGTCGATGGTGGGGGCCGTTGTCGGCGCGATCGGCGTGTCCGGCGTATCCGGGGAAGCGGGAGCGGGCTCCTCGCCGCGCTGCTGCAGGAGCCGCTGCTTGAGTCGCTCGGCCGCCGACAGACGGCGCTGTGGAGCGGACGAACCGTCAGAGACGCGAGTGGAACGCGTCAGAGACGCCAGGCGGAACATGTCAGAGACGCAGGGCAGCTCACGTCAGAGACGCAGGGTGCGACAGTCAAGAGTCACAGGGCGAGACACGTCAGAGACGCCGGGCGGAACACGTCAGAGTCGCAAGGCGGGACAGTCAGAGACGTCGGGCGAGACAGTCAGAGACGCAGGGATGGACAGTCAGAGTCGCAGGACGAGACACGTCAGAGACGCCGGGTGGAATATGTCAGAGACGCAGGGCAAGACACGTCAGATAACTCACAACAGGACATATGCAAGTTTATTAGCGGCAGGGACAGCAGCAGAGGACGGAACATGATGTGTATCATGAAATTAGAAGCACGTCTTCTGCATGATCGAGCTTAGAATCGAACAGCTAATGACCACAAGCTTCCCCACCGCGAGTGAATGCCATCGATGGCGCAAACGTAGTCACAAATAATATAAGACCCATACAATATTGCCAGACAAAACATCCACGCGAGGGCCACTCACGCTGTTGTTCTGGCGAGTCGAGAAGGAGCGGCGTGGCAGTAGCGGTATTTCGGGCCGGAACGGACGCGCCGCGCGCGCCCTCTGTCCCGGCTCGTACCCGAGCGTGAAGGGCCGCCGCTCGGGTGCTGCCACCTCGCGAGAGGGTCGCACGTCCAGCGCCGCCTGCATGCGCGCCTTGAGGCGCTCCTGCAGCGAGGAGACGTGGTTGGCGGCCGGCGCCGGCTCGTCCAGTGAGCTGAACAGCCGCTCGAGGGGCAGCACCTCGGGCTCGGCGACCGGCGCCGGCAGCTGCGGGAACTCCGTGGCGGCACCCTCGATGATGGACGAGGCGCGCGTGACGGTCGGCGAGACGGGCGGCGCCGCGAAGATAACGCTGCTCGACTGCAGCAGCTGCGTGTACTCGCCGTCGACCATGGTGCCGATCACGCTGGTCGTGTGCACGGTGGTGAGGTCGCCCGACACCACGGTGCCGCCGCTGGCCGTCACCAGTCCCACCACCGAGGTCCGCAGGCCCACCACCGACGTCTGCAGTGCCGCCGGCGCCGTGTCGGGCACGACGCTGGCCGGGCTGGCAGACAGGAACTCGCGACGCAGCGGCCGCAGAGGCGGGCGCGCGCCGGCGCCGCCGGCAGCGCCGGTGTGGGCGTGCGCGCCGGGCCGCGCCGCCGCTGCGGCAGGATGAACGGACCGCCGGTTCGGTTGGCGAGCGATCCCGCAGCTTGGCCCACAGCAGGTTCTTGTCGGCCCGCCGGGTGGGGGGCGTCGGGGAGGGCGTCGGCTCGACGGAGGGTGCCGGTGCCGCGGGAGGAGGCCGGCTGGTGAGGCTTTCGCCACCGTGGCGGAGGTGGAGACGATGCGTGGGCACCGTGCGTGACGGCGACGGGACCCGCGCGCGGCCGGCGACGCCGGCTTGGTGGTAAGGGCCACAGCCTCCTCAGCGCCTGCCGATGATGAAACGTTTGGTTGCTGCACCCTGTGCTCGTTTTTAATCTTACGCCAATTGCTGTTAAGTTTTGTATGACGGCTGCGGCCATTGCTATTCAGTTCGGCCATATCGACCATGTGCTCGCCGTCTGCACGATGACGTGCACCCAAACGCCTGTTGCGTGAAAATATGCAATTGTATCTGTCTGACTCTGCTCACAACTAGATAATTTACGTGTCACCCTGGTGTTGGCAGGAAAACCATGGGTTTTGCAATCGCGCAAAGCCATCCTTTCACCGCCCGCTAGAAAAAAACGTCCATTGCACGTCACAGCTCACTCGTTGTTTCCTCAGACATAATGCCATGCCCAAACTGGCCTCTAACTACTTAAACGCCACGATTTTCTGTCATTAACTCCAGACGTCTCCAGCGCAACAGTAGTTTCGGTAGGGCCGTGCAGAGGTGTCCCCCACAAACCTTGCGTTTGGCGCCGGGCGTGAAGACCATGACGGTGTCGCCAACGGTGGTGATGAAGTCGAGGAAGCCCGTAGATGGTTTTGGTGGAGAGATCGCCGGCACCGGCGTCCACTACCAGTCGGCTGACCGGCTCCAGCGGCTCCGAGGAGATGGTGAGCTTCGTCCGGTCACGGTCGGGGTCGCGTCGGGTCACACGAGGTCAGAGGTCAATTGCCGGTCAGCGGAACCCTTGGAGGTCAGGGTCACGCGCGTCGAGCTTCTGTGCAGTGAAACTGGTTGTTTTTGATTGGATTTACCGGTGATGACAGCATTGCTTCATGGTAATGAATTTGTGTACGCCAATGATAATAAGCCTTTGTTTCAACCCTTGTCCTGATTGGCGGGGCCATTGGCCTCTCTCTTCGTCACTGGTATTTTGGTAGGAAAAGTGTCACGATCATCAAAAACGTAAATATAGTCGAAAATTGACACATTGAAGGAAGTGTCCCTACATTTCGGACCCAATGTTCATCGAAAATTGACACATTGAAGGAAGTGTCCCTACATTTCGGGACCCCAATAAATGACCATTTGGTCGTCAGTTTGTCCAGCGCGGCGAGTTTCGCTTCCCCGGCTGTTTTAAACAGACAAGTTTGCCGGCTGTCACCGCCACTGTTCTTGGTCTCCCCCCCCCCCCCTCTCTCTCTCTCTCTCTCCTCCTCCTCTCTCTCTCTCTCTCATCTCTCTCTCTCTCTCTCCTCTCTCTCTCTCTCTTCTCTCTCTCGCCTCTCCTCATCTCTCTCTCTCTCTCTCTCTTGAACAGAGCGCTCACATCCAG